ACTTTGATACTCATACAGAGAACTCACGCACGGTACTTATAAGAATACTCATGCAAGTAGGTAATTTAACAATCGAGCACACTGAGAGACCCATTTATCGAATGAAACGATATAATTTGATTGAGTCATGTTGTTGACTGAACAGTTATTTAGCAGTATAAAACAAAAAATATGTTGCTGAAAAGAAGATAATTGTTACAACTAAATATTTTGTTTCCATGAGTTGTTTATTTGAACAAAATTTTATGATTGAGATAACCAATTCGTCCATCTCAAAGTACGATATTCCGCCACTAGATGGCCGCCGAACTCGTAAGTGAGATCACGATAGCCCGGCATATACTAAGGTAAGGTACCTTGTCACGGGCCGGGACGGCTCTTTCGGTTCTTTCGTGACAAACAGCAGGATAAGCGAAACAACCCATTTTGTTGAATGAAACGAAACAATTTGATTGAATCATTTTTCTACAAAATTTTGTTGTTGTATCAACTGAAAGATTTGTTTGCTCATATCCAAACAAAGAAATTCGGTTGAGTCAACTAAATTTTGTTTTATTCAACAAAATGGGTCTCTCAGTGCATACATCGTTAAATTAATTGAAATAGATTTACATTCTAGTCTGTTTTACTTTAAAGATCGATATATATCGATGGCAATATACGGCCATACGTGATGAGATTGGCGTAGTCGTGCACAGCGTCCCTGTCGGAAAGCCGCATCCATTAAAGCGAGGGGCCGGAGTGCGGTTAAACTACCGCAAAGCACCGAAATGTCAGCATTAATATTGCAACCGTCTCTTGCAACCGCCTGCTGGCGGTCGCTTCTATGCTTATTATACTTATTGTATCGTGCTATCGAGCTTAAATATTAAAATCTCGTTTCCGTCTACGGCACGTATACTTACGAGGACGCGCAGTGCCGATCGAATTTGATGAATTAATCGATTAACCGAAGAGATACTTCGGGATTTTTACATCGACGGATTGTTCGACTTCTACACGGAAAGAAAGATGTAACTGGCAACTAAATTTCAGTTGTAAAATATGGATAGCTAATATTTAAAATTTCATTCGATCACAGCTGGCCACATTTTCTGCATTGACCGGTTAATTAACAAATGTGGTCAGCTGTGGTCGAATAAAATTTGAAATTTTATTATTATACTGGCAATTTGAAGAAACTTATAGCTATGGAGAAATTTATAGCTATGACAGCAAAATGTTTTTAGCAAATGATTAACCACGGTAGCGAAAATTTGTTTTCAGTTTACGAAGGCAAATCGAAACAATCTGGCGGTTTCTAAAAATGACTTTCAATCGAGGAACAACTTTCCCAAATCCCGATTTAATAGGTGCGCTTAGATTTTTATTAATAGGTAAACTTGTGGCGCTCATCCTTGCGCTTCGTGAATCATCGCTCATTGTTTCCTAATATCCGCGCGGTCTAATTGATCGCGCTGAAGGAAAAGGAAGAGGTCGATCCATCCAATCGATAACCAGCCTTTGGCGAAACGAGATCGTAATCGCGAGATAATAGCGGTCTCGACACGCTTCCGTCTTCGCGGTCGTACGTCGAGCGCCTGACGAATGAGCACCTGTCCGAGGTATTCAAGTTATCAGGCACAGGTGTCACGTGTGTATATACGTCACGTTAAACGGGGCCGCTGATTTGTGCGCTCACGAAAAGGAACGCGCTTCATACGGCGAGGTATATAAGCCTGCCCTTTATGAATACCGAGGTGCAGGGAGTATCCGGGACGGTAGCCGCAAACACGCGATTCCGGCTGGCGCGGACGTGTCGAATTAATAAGTGAAAAAGTAAGGGCCGACTGCGTCGTAACATACTTCAGAAGTGATGTCCAACCGGGAAAATCTCAACGTGCTAGGCGTCTGGTTGTGTGAAGCTGAATTAATTGAACTGACGAATCGGAGTGGAAGTGAGACACAAGTATTTTATTCGTATCCTAGAGTGACTTATCCGAAGACATGTATAGATACAATGCAAAATTAAAGATCTATAGACATGTATAACTTGAACTAGAGTGAACGAAATATTTTCTAATTTGTGTGTCATTCTACGTTGCAGCATGAAGGAAATACTAAATGCATAGAATTTCATAATTACGCGAAAGGTAATATTTTAGTGTTAGGCATAATATTAACTAGAGTATTGTCAATATTCAATATTATACTATAGAATATTGCGAGGGAAAAGTACACTGAGAGGCCCATTTTGTTGAATGAATCCCCACTCTATCCCCACCACCGCTGTCGCGATGTGGTAGACGTTCCCAAACGGCGCCACTGTCTCAGACATGGTTTGGGTAGGGTTATATCTTAAGGAAGTTAAGTTCAAAACCACGTCGAATAAGACTAATTTTATTGATTTTTGAGGTGGTTGAGCTATACTGAAGAATTACCAATAGGGAGTCTCTTAGTGTAGTTAGTGTGAGGAAGAACGTTACGTTAATGTTAACTGGAACATGTATACTAGAATAGTGTAGAATAGTGTTTCGATCTTCATTATATTTTTACATATTTCGGGCGCTAGGAAGGTAGTGTGAGAAAAAGTGTTACAAAGCGAGAATTCATTAATTGCCTGGATCCTCGATGTTTCGAGAAGATTTCGCTTGAGGCGGACTATACAGTCGCAATGGGAAAATTATCGCTGATTAATACACTCTATCGCGCAATTTTCATCCTGCGATACGGTAGGCGAAACAGGGAAGAAAAAGAGAAAGCGGCAGTAGGGTCATAGTCGTTCGCGTGATATGTGCAACGGGGCAAAAAGTGCATGTGCAAACCGTAACTTCTTTACGGCCCTCCGGAGAGCCGTCGAACGACGAAGGTGCATCGTATTTATCCGCGTTCATTCCTATTTAAAGGAAAGGGTGGGCGTCCTTTCGACAGCCGGTATTTCATTTTGATAAATCGTCGCGCTCGCTGATGTCTGCCATTAAACGAGAATTTTGCAAGGCTTCTGTATAAAAGAGTTACGCGAACGCGGAAAGACTGTCTCGATGAGCATTGAAATTCGTCGAACAATCTACATCTTTCTGCATGTTCATACGCTGACAAAGTTGAACCTTAACGCGATGTAACAAGTACGATCGATGTGATTAAATGATGGGAGTGCGTTGTCGCTCGAGAAAGGATCTTGTCATCGACGTTCTCCAATATCGGTCAAACATTCGATCGATCGTTTCCCGCTATCGATGAATTATGCATCGCAGCTGTCCTCACGATTCCTTTTTTTCGACAAAACTATAAGAAATATTGCCTCGGGCATTATTACACGTGTGCATGAGAGAAGAAGACTCGAGCTCCGGCTTATAAGGCCGCTCTTTATATTTAATGTAAACGCGTACTAGTTTCTAGATGCAGTCCTTCGCTCGATAATGAAAACGATCTCGTTAAGGAATTCGCATTGTTTAACTTTGTATCGACCTGGATATCTCAAATAATACATAGATCACCAATTGAACTTAGAATCTATAAACATATATAATTTGAAGTGGAGTGAGGGAAATACTTTCTAATTTGTGTGCCATTTTACGCGTATCTTTGAAGAATGGAGGAAAAATTAAATGCATGTTGTATTGATTAATGCTAGATTTATTGTCGCCGATGCTCCAATATGTACGACGATCGAAATGCGAAAGTCAAGACTGCGAAATCCTTTCCCATCCCTTTTACTTTTACGTAATATCTACGTACTATCACGTAGTCGTTACTCCCGCTACTATTCTCTACGCAGTGGACGCGTATATCCGCTCATATTTGTGGCGGGTTATCCGGTGAGAGCATGTATTGAAATGTCGTCGTTCCGGGCAAATAAGACGGAGAAAAGGAAAGGTGGGATTATCTGAATACAGTCGTTTCAGGGGTGAGTTGCGACCCCCCAGGGGGTAGTAGGTGGTCGCCCCTGGGGTCTGCCGGACCCCCACGAACTCGTCCCTCTCGCCGTGTGACGTACAGTGGTCATCCTCGCGCCGAATTACCACCATCTTCCCTTTTCCCGTCCTCCTTGGAGAAGGGTCCGTCCAATAGATTATTTGAATATCGATCGATCGCATTTGCGGCTGGATAACGGCGCGCCGCCCCATTTTTCGGGAAATTGCGATTGCCGTGGCGCACGGCTCCCCGCCATGCGTTTTAGCATAATTCGGCCCGCAGCCTGATTGATAAATGCGACGTACTCCGATGCTATCTCGGCCATCCAGCTCTTTTGAGCCCCCGGTTTTAATCAGGACAGATGTGGGTTTCCGCCGAGCAGAACCGTGGCGTGACATAACGACGACCGTCAAGCATTGAGGAACATTGCGAGACAATGTTCAGCAGTTGGGAAAAATTAATTTCACGTTTATATAATTTAGATGATATCTCAATTTAAAACTTAATCTTTCCTATTGATTAACTAATAAGAATTCTTCAATGTCGCCAGCGATAATTAACAAGTGTTTTCTTGACCATACCTGGCATTTTTTAATAATACAGGAAATTTATTACGAAAAATATTACCCCAGCCAGGGTTTGAACCTGGACCTCCCTACACTCTTTCTTATTAATATTTTATTAAAATAGTAATATAAATGAGAGAAGAAATTTGTTATTTGACTAAAATATTTATTTTATTATCTATCTTGAGTGGCTGTGTCGATGATTCTCTTCTACCACCGTCTCATTTATATGTTCCGCTAGAATTTTTATACATCATAATTTTAATAAAGTTGATGAGGACGAAAAGACAGCTTGCAAAGATATAAATCAACGTGTTCGTCATTGTTATTTCTTCACTGACGAGCGCCGTTATCCACAAAGGAGTAGAATATAAATAACCTTAATGTAATTAAGATAAAACTATAACGCTTGCTGATTCTCCCGCAAGAAGCACGAGGTATCGCGCACGTTCGGTATCTCTTATGGGAAACGAATGATTTTCCCGATCGGCTTATAGTACGGCGTTACTAACGAGGGTCCGATTGCGCTTTTTGTTTCAGGTAGCGACGCGCTCGGCCGAATCGATAAGGAGCCAGCCTCGCCAGAATCCATACAAGGTGAGTTTGCGGAGTTTCATCGCTCGTCGTCGTATCTTCTTGATACGATTAACGAATGATGCCGTTTAATCTTCGACGGACATAAATTTCGCGTAGAAATAATACAGCGACGGAATAATGCGAGCGAAAAAGAACGCCGCGTCGTGATAATAAATCCGCGCCACCTGCTTTTGACCGTTTTCTTACCTGAAATACTGTCGCGAGTAACAATGTCATTTGAGCCGTCAATCCCAATCGAACTTCAATTTTGAGATCTTTATTTAGATCTGTTCGTGTAATTTTAAATCGTACAATAAAACGCAAGATTTTTATATATACACATGTGGGAATGGAAGTTTTCTTCAAGTTCTACAAAAATTGTGATATTGGTGAGTTTATGTAATACACAAAAATTAAATATAAAGAATTAGCTTATTGACTTATTCATTCCATATTGATGTATATCGTATATATAATTTAAATCTGCAGTATTGTAAACAAAAAGTGCTCTATTTGTAAATAGAAAGGCGAACGAATCTTATCAAGGCGCATCTCGAGTTTTTTTTATCTCTACAATATGTAGTGAGTCTTCTCCGTAAAAATATTTTGAAACCAATTATTTTTAGGGCTATCCGGTAGCATATTTATTTTTAGAAATCCTTTAGGAATTATCTTTAGGAATTCTATTCTATGACGCATAGTTTTCTAACTTGCCACTGTCTCTGTGTATTTATTTCAAGATTCTTCGTGATTTAAAGGTTGAAACCTTTAAGAACTTCCTTTGTTCGATTGCATGCATTATCGACGATGTGCAGACAAATTCAAACCTTTTCGGGATCCTTTTACGGTTTTTACGAAGCGGAACGAATTTAGTTCTAAAAATGGAAACTTGTCTCACGCGACTTATCTCGCCCACTAAATATAACAAAAGAAATATAGAGCACGCTTGTAAATTTCTAGCGTTATATTATTATGCCGTGTGAAAATTTCGGGTAGAGCTGCGTGACTATTGTTAGCAAGTAGAAATTAGAGGGAACCAATCGGGCGTATTATAAATTCTATAACTTGTCCGTGTATTCCAGCTCCAGAAATTTACACGTGACCACTCATTAGTCACAGCGAATTTAGATTTTAAAAAATGTACTTATATATTTTATCGCAAAGCTCACATTTTATGTGAATACAAAAGTATTATACAATTAATCTAGTAAACGCACCGTGGTAATTTAAGAAAAGTGAGTTCAGTCGTTTAGATTCTTGCGTGTTTGGCAAAACAAACTTTTGTATAATAAACCTAATAAGGAGAATCGTTAGTTCCATGAACGTGCGTTTCGAGAACGACGGGGGCAAGCTCGAAGGGTGTCACGCGTCACGAGATCTGACATAGCGTGTATCGTTGTTCGCAGAAAGCGCGATAATGAGGAAGATGACAGAACGTAACGAATGCCGCCAAACGGCTGCATCTGCAAAACCAAGAAACACATTTGATGTGCGCAATAATTGTGCGCAAATGTCCTCATAATTATCAATGCACGGTGGCCATGCGAAGCCTTCTATTGCTACCAATATTAGTCTGTTATTGCATTAAAAAATAATGATGGCAAAAGTACTGTTCCTGGCATCAATATTATATTGTAAATTTTATACATTATGACAAATTAATACTGTACGTTAAAACTAATTAATACATTGTTAACCGGGCGTTTGATGCGGAAACTAACGTCTGAGGCCGATTATTTGTTACAAGTTAATATTGAAGTATGTAAATACAAAATTCGTTTGTAATATACAAAATGTCGGTAAAATGCAAACTGCGACAGATGAAGGATAAACACAATCATAAATCCTACAATAAAAACTTCGCACGCTGATTCAAGCTGTATGCTTTTAAAGCACGGGTAAACTTGTCCGTCGGACAATAACGTACGGGCAACGGAAGATGAACTGATTATTGTTTCCGATCAATGATGCGTTAATTAACTACGAGGAACGTAATGCGCGGCTGTCATTAGAGAAATAAACATGGACTCGAGTCATAACTCCTCGATGGACCATGGAGCTGCGATTCTCACGAGGTAAAATAAAACGGAACAGAAACTAACAAAGGTGTAGAGATAGCTGACAAAAAATCCGCGGTTGGACCGGCCCTCTCGGAAATGCCAAACCGGTCGTAAACGGACTCGCGCCCCTTCGCGAACGATGCCTCTCGTAGAAGTATCACAACGAATGGAGCGGACAAGTCGAACGGGGAAAGAAAAAAAAAAAGAAACGATCGGTAAATAGAAGCGTGGTACGAGGGGCGAGGATGAGATCCGATAGGACCCGGCCGGCGAGAGCGAGCAGGATGGGGTGAAGAGGATTCCGTCGCCGACCTGTGTTTTACTTTATAGCATTTAGCCCGTTGTTTGTCTTATTGCTATTAGCCTTCGTCAATTAGTAATTGCATTTTTAATGTCGATTCCGTGAATCGGGTCCACTGGCGAAGACGCGGCGAGCAACGTGGAGGCCCCAACCTTGGTGGTTCGCGAGCGAGCCCCGGACGAACGGCTTAGTGGGGAGAAACCGTGCTCTCCTTGCCGGTCGGCCGGTAGGCACCGATCGCTGCTGCCAGGAGGGGGGGGCATGTCATTAGGAGTCATTAATATCGCGGACCTCTGTAATTTGACACACTTCCGATCGCCTAGCGCCACCATCACCACCGTCGCCACCCGCTCCATTTTTCTCCTCTGCCTCCGCGTCTTCCGAACATTTCGCGACCGTTCGCCCCGCGGCCACCACATCGGCTCCTTCTTTTTGCGCCTCCCTGCGAATCACCATGTCAGGAACGACGAAACTGCCGGCAAAACGTCGTGCACTTCGCGGCACATTATTCGTGTCATTTCGCATTTCGACTTTTTCGATAATCAGTGGTTCTCGTAAATGATAAAAGAAAACTTACGTCAATTTTCGATTTCGTCAAACTGTGAGAGGGGTCGCGGAAGAATTTGAAATAAATCACACGGACTTCAATATAATTCTTCGAATCTAGCTCGAGATAGCATTCTGATTACCGAAATAATGGTCAATTACATGACAATATTTTTATTTAATTACAGACAAATCTTACGCTATTCTCAAAACAATTCTCTATTCCTCAACAATAGATGAAAGATACATCAATATTAATTAAGAAAAAATTATTTAACGTTTCCTGTGTGCACGCTCGATTGTCGATGTTAATACTTCATGTATTATGCTTTTACTATGTAGTCGAGACGCAATTATCTTTATTAAGCTGTCAAAGCGAATCGAGACGTAGTGCTCGGAGCCGATACGTGTTCGATTACGAAATCGTATACGAGCGGATGCAACCGCTTGGTAATGCAGCCGCGATTAATATGATCCGCGGATGCTAATCGAGATTCTAATCGTTTATTCTCGCATCGTACCCGCACACCTGTTCGACCGATATGGCCAGACCAGGGATTCTTTTAACGCGGACTTCTCCAAGATCTTCCGAGCGGTCACGTTACTCATCATACTTTCTAATGTGCCAGCATGAGCTTTTTATTTTCATAACGAAATGATGTCAGCTGCCATTAACTACAAATCAAAGAAGTCGCTAATGTCGCTTTGATCTATGAAATCGAAGAGAGAGCAAACTGTCACGATACTTTATTCGGTTTTTATTATTTGTGAACGTCTAGCATCTCCGGTAGTAAAAGAAATGTCGAAAGATGGGATTTTTTATTTTCTAAATATTCTTTTAAGCTATAATAATTTTTCTTAGTGTATCTTAAATTTTTTTATGAAAATTGACATATGTATGAATACGTAAATAATAATAATTAATACGCGTTAAATGTTCAAGTAATCGTTTCTTGCGAATAATTCAACATTACTATTTTTTTTCATACCTTGCAACTATGAACGTTTGAAACGCCACTAGCTTGAACGCTTTCAAAGAATTGAAAGCGTCTTGAATCAAAGCAAACGATGAAGGTCGAAGACGATGGAAATCCTAAGGGACTGACCAGGGATCGCTTGGGTTTGGCATGCAAACGATTCTTGCGATAAACTTGCTTGAAGAATGCTCACTCATGCGAACACGGACGATAGTACGTCTTCTTGGTGACTTTGTTATTCAAATCATTCGTCGGGCCGAAGCGATCGTGGAAAATCGCTTTTGAATGTCGAAACACTTTTCCAACTTCCCCAAAGGAAGTTTTATTCTTCACGCCTTATGCCCGAAAATGTTTACTCTTCGGTCACGTCGGTCACGCATTAGGTACTTCGTTAAAATCTAATTCTTGTTGTTGGAAACTCTTTCAACATTGCTCTCTCGTTATGTGTAATTTTTACTTTTTAAAACTCGTCAATATTTTATTAACAAGGTTAGCAATTAATTGGTGAAAGAGTTAGTGATAATTCTTATTAATCCTATTGATATGTTTTATTAACTACACTCTCTGTTTTTTAATTAAGATAAAATTAATTTATGGAAAACTTTACTTCAAAACTTACGGCTATATTTTTATTTGTTGTCAATTAATACAACGAGAATGTGTTTGACGAGTTGAAAGAATAATGAATAAGAATTCACATTTTTGTTTCAAGAAAACGTGCTTGATACCGAGAAGCTGTGCCAATCTTTAAGATATATCTCGAGCGAACTAGTTCACTTTGTTATTCGAATCGTAGGGGTAAAACGAGGTGGTCTTCCTTTGAATATAGAGAAGCCCTTCCTCTTCGAGCTTTTCGGGATTCATGCGTCACGATCGCAGCTAGACGGAGCAAATTCAAATTCCGCGATGGGATTTCTCGAGAGGATTTTCAGATTTTTATCGTTGGTGAATGTCTCGCAAGCTGGGTATGCTAATCCTGCTGAAATGCTGACCGCGGTGTTGACTTCCTTTTACTTACTCACATTGTTCGTTGACATACGTTCGCAAAAGTATATACGCAATAGCTAAATAATATTTAATTTGTTGCTGCAAAAGTAAGATACAGTGAACAGAAGTAACATTGAGAGATCGGAAGCA